CTGTGACGTTACGTGTTAAAATAAATGATTGATTGATTGATTGATTGGGAGACTTTAACTCCAGAGTAGGCAAACACCCGGACAGTGTTTGTCAAGAAGGTAATAAGATAATAACAAACGATTTTTCTGAATCTTCGTTATGTGCCACCCAACGAAAAAGTTTTGATAATGATTTGAATAATCATGGAAAACGACTCTTGGAAATTTGTAGAAGCGCGGACTTAAGAATTTTAGATGGTAGAATAAAGGGCGACTCGTTAGGCAGAGCTACATTTCATGGTAAATCGGGAATCAGCGTCATTGATTACTCCATATGTGACCAAGATTTGCTACGAAATATAACATCTTTTATGGTGAAAGACCCAAACAGGAGGGGGGCATTGGGGTATATTAGAAACCGCAAAACCGAAGAAAAAAATCATCCAAAACCGCAAAAAAAATTCGGCCAAAACCGAAAACCGCATACAAAACCGTCAAAAACCGATACAGTGGTGACAAGTGGGGCATACAGAGCAAACTAAACTAACACTAACTTCACCAAAGTATTTGTGAATGTCATGGACTTTGTCTGAACCCTTCGTATCTTTCTGTGTCTGCTTAAATCATAGGCTTTGTTTCTGCCGCTCTCTCGAGCCCAGACTTTGCAGCTCAATTTCCGAAAAGCCGCTAGTTATGGAGCCTAGTTAACTTAGGAGAATTTGCACACCAGTCCTCTTTAGAATTGCAATTTTGCAGTCGCAAAAAGCTATAGCTCTGGAAACTTCAATCGAAAATCTCTAATCGAACATTACCATTTGATAACTCCCCTCCTCGCAAAAAAACGCAACACAATCCACAATTGCTTCTTCCGTTGCTGGCGCGGGAGGCTTGTTGGAAGCCATAGCTCGCAAACTGACCAAATGGTTGCCCTGGTCTGCGAGGTCAAAGGCTCGCCGGGCGTCAAGGGAGACGCTTGATCCCCTACCATGACATTTATTTTGTCACGCATTCCTCTAAATAACTTTGCCGTTTCGCGGCTATTCGAGATTAAGGTGGCTGAACACAGTTTTGGCAGTTTCTGAGTATAGGTCATTTGCCAAATTATGGCAAGAAAAAGGTTGCAGCTCACAAGCTGAAACTTGGCAAGTGAAAAATATAATGATGAAAGATTTTGACTGACAGGGCCAATTTGACGTTTTCGTAGTTTCCATGGCAACATGAACGATTGACTACAACCTTAAAATTTCACTTTTACTCAGTTTACATAAAATTCGCTCATTACATTTTCTTATAAACTCGCACACAGCTTACTATAATTAATCATTACTATTTGAAACTTATTTGACCAAATTTTAACAGGGGGGTTTTCAGATAATCAGTAATATAATTGTACTGTTATTATTACCTGATATGATCCTTTGACTCCTCTTCCAAAACAGTTTTTTTGGGAAAATGATTCGTCACAAAAATTTAGAGATGCATTACAGTCTGAAGACATTCAAAGAATGATCCACGATTTTATGAATACTAACAACAATCACGAGAAATGTTGACATGAACCTTGATGCAGTAGAAAATATTCTTATTTCAACCGCAAAACGATGTTTGAAAATCAAAACAGCAAAAAAGCGACGTTGCAAAATATCTTTGAACAAAAAATGGTTCGACAAAGAATGCCGCTATAAAAGACATGAACGGCGGAAACTTTCTAATCAAAAACACAGAGATCCTCTAAACAATACCCTCAGGGAAGAGCATCACAACGTCTTACAACAATATAAAAACCTTTTGAAACATAAGAGAAACGAATACTATAGCAATAAGATCTGTGAACTTGAAAATACGGTCGAAAATTCGAACAATAAGGGCTTTTGGAACTGTTTGAAGTCAATGGACGACACTATGAAGGAAACCTACACCCCTCCAATTTCTGAAGAAAAATGGATGTCCCACTTTCAATCTCTGCACTCGAATGAACCCCTTAACGAACAGCAGGAGGCAGTTATTGATGAGTTGCAGAATTCAAAGGATATTCCAACACGATCTCACTCCTTGGATTACCTCATCACTGAAAGTGAAATTCGCACTGCAGCTGGAAAACTCAAATACAACAAATCTTCTTTTTCAGACAAAATCAAAAACGAAATGATCAAATCTAGCTTAAACGAATTAATGTCTGTTTATCTAAAACTATTTAACATGGTCCTCGACTAAGGAACTATGCCCCAAATGTGGTGTGACGGCCTCATTACACAAATTTTTAAATGTGGTACTAAAAGCGATCCATCAAACTACCGTGGAATTTGTATTTCTAGTTGCATTGGAAAACTGTTTTGTTCAATTCTCAATCAGAGACTTCTAAAGTACTTTGACTTAAATAATATACTTCACAAGTCTCAAATTGGTTTTCTAGCAAATAATAGAACAGCAGATCATGATCATGTCCTCACTCTTCGAACATTAATAGACAAATAATTATGTCCAGTGTCACAAGGAGAAAATATATGCGTGTTTTGTTGACTTTTGGAAAGCCTTTGATTCAGTTTGGCATGATGGGCTTCTCTATAAGTTATCTAAAATCAATGTCCAAGGAAAGTTTTATAGTCTAATTAAGAGTCTATACTCGAAGTCTACCTGCTCTGTCAGGATTGGAAATAACAAAACGCGATCTTTTCAATACGCAAGAGGAGTGCGGCAAGGCTGCATTTTAAGCCCTCTGCTCTTCAACTTATACCTTAACGATCTAGCGTTCTCATTTGACAATGTTTTATCAGACCCTTTCGTGTTACCAAATGGCACCAGACTCAACTCTCTCCTTTACGCAGATGATTTGATAATATTATCGCGATCCAAACTTGGTCTACAAAACTGCTTAACGTAATATCTTCATATTGCAACTCATGGATGCTTAGAATAAATCCTTAGAAAACCAAAATAATGGTTTTTCAACGATGTACACGAAAATGTGAACATAACTTCCGCATAGGCAATGAAGTAATCGACGTTGTCCAAAACTATACTTACTTAGGAACTCGCATCACATCTTCCGGAAATTTTACACTTTCGCTTGAACACCTCCGACAAAAAGCTCTTCATGCGCTCTTCAGCCTAAGGCGGCACACGGATTTGAATGCAGGTCTTAAGCCATCACTTGCGTGTAAAATTTTTGACTCGATGATTTCACCAATTCTAACCTACAACATTGAAGTTTGGGGTGCTTTTGTTAAATCAGATTTTAAGTCCTGGGACAGCTCTGCAATTGAAAAAACCCATTTGCAATTCTGTAAACATTATTTACAAGTACATAACAAGGCATCCAACTTTGCTTGTAGAGCTGAACTCGGTAAATTCCTCATGATCATTGATATAAATAAAAAGATTCTTAATTACGTGGACTATCTAATAGGTAAAGATGAAGATTCTATAGTTAAACAGGCCTTACAAATTTCAATTGACCTTCACCATAACGGAAAAACTAGCTTTTAGTCTAATATCGTGAAAATGGTTGAGTACTATGATCTAAACTATGACTTTTCCTGTAATTCATGGAGTGACTCAATAGTTAATCAGTATATCGGCATAATGAAAAATAAATACGTCTCTTACTGGAATCAGATCCTTCAACAATCACAAAACTCAGTTTTTATTGTACAATCAAAGACGAATATAGCCCCTCGCCGTACCTAGTTTTAACAAGAAAAACCCTTCGAGAAAAGCATTGGTTAGATTTAGAATAAGTAGTCATCAACTTAGAATTGAAACAGGTAGATACGAAAAAATGCCTCGTGATGAAAGGATATGTTACTTTTGTACAGGTAACAAAATTGAAGATTAAAATCATTTCTTACTAGATTGTAAGGCTTATTCTGAGATCAGAGACACATTTTTCTCCAAATTAGAAACTAAAATACCTGACTTCAAATCACTTTCACACGATACTTTAATATCTCTTCTTATGGATTCTTCTGATTATTTGATTAACTGTCAATTAGTTTCATTTATCTCGCAATGCTTTGAGTTAAGAACCAAATTAATATCAATGAATATATGAATGAATGAGAACTGTAACGTTTTGTTATGTTTTTGCACGTACTAATTTAAGTTGCATTAGTTCTTAAATTTAGCCTAATAGCTTTTGCAATACTGTAATTCATTTATGGTCATGCAAATAAAGCATTTGTTGTTGTTGTTGCTGTTGCAAGGCTGTGCTGTTATAGCATTATTTGGTGGCTCCTTGTCGCCTACTTTTTTGGTGACAAAAAAATTATTGATCAATATTTTACAGTTAATGAATGAGGCTGAGTATCTTATGAAGAATTATGGAGATTGAGGAGGGTGTTATCCATCGAGGCCGTAGGCCGAGGTGGATAACACCCTCCGAGATTCATTCAAAATAATTCCTAGTTTAAAAACATAGCTAAAACATGCTTATACCTCCATTGATGCATCGATGTTCAGTTCATCTTCGATAGTGTACGTTTAGGTTTGTCCAGCTCCACAAATATTCTCCAAATAGCAGATGTTAAACTCTGAGTTGTCTTCTTGCTGTTTTTGCTATATTTTTAACTATTACTTCACCTAGTTCCAGATGTAGTTCTTACTCTTGAAACGAGTGAATCGTCGGCCATTTTTGTTTTCACAACCAAAACAACTCAACCTCGTCCCCAGGTCTTCTTGGTTAACGGTTCATTAACCTGTAGAAGGCTGCATTTTTGACGTCATTTCCTCATTAAACACAAAATTCCTCCAAATTTGGTCATCAGTAACTGGTTATGGTGAATTAAACATGTGCTTTTAGCCAATCAGAATCGGGGAAATATTTTAAATGAAATAGTAATTTTTTTTAAACATTACTTTAGCACTTGACTCTCTAGATACTCTTCAGACCTGTTCTGTACTTATTTTTCTTAGAGTACCATAGCCTTGTAAATCAGTAGTTGTTATTAATTGCACAACTTTGCTTATTCAATTATTTATCAGCATTCAAGTATGATGGATTCTCACAACATGTTCAGTACTCTGGGAGAAAATCAGAAAACATATTGTTTATTGACAAGTTTCATCATCACCGGTCTAAAAGAAATGCAGATTCAAATGCACCAAGTTGCAAAGTGAATAACTGCACATATGTTAAGGTAAGATTTGTTAACATGTCATACAGTGTATTCATCCATAATTCAATTTTTTGAAATGAGTCAAGTATCAGTTAATGAAAAATGCAGAGATATTGACTTATCTTCAAGTCACTCTTACTGTCAGTGATATTAGCCTAACAAAATTACTGTCTGTATGTACTGCCTCCTATATTCTTATAAGTGTTTTTTGTATTTTCAAACCCTCACTAATTTTATTCATTATGTAGAGACCTTACAAATGTATGTATTAAACCTGGCTAACATAGGTAATTTAAAACCTGGTGGAATTTCAGCCTTTAAATACAAACACAGGGACAATGTATGTGCTGCCTAACAGAGCTATGATTTTGGGACTCCTCAATACAGTATGTTGAAGACAGAGTATTATGCACATCTCACCATATCAGCAATGACTGGTAATATCTATGTAGAACTACCATTATATATAAAGATATATATAGAATGCAGATACTCATCAAATCTGGACTTTCTCCATTTAATTTTAGGTTAATCATAAGTATTATGTGTCGCATACATATATCAGTGGCCAAAGATTTTGGCGGAATATAGAGGAAAATCCTAAAAGCAAAGTCCACCCTGTTCTTTCACAGAGCTTCTTAAAAAAGTCGGTAAGTATTTGAAATGACATTAATTTTGACATAAATTTATAAGATGAGAACAAAAGCAGCATGAAGATGCAGTTACATGCAGTAGATGGCTTGCTGACAACCCAATTCCTTCATCTGGAACCCATTCCTCATTCAATACCAGAATAAGCCTTCTTTCTTCCTTGATTACAAAATGTACATGCACTAGTTGAATGTGAAATTGTTCTTTTCACAGACACTTAAGCTCAGCTTTATCTTTCCATACTATGGTCACTACCTTGATAGTGTGGTGCTGACAACTGGAGGTGAATTGATTCAAATTATACATGAATAATTGTTTTACTGTTTTATTATCATTTTGCCAAAAAAACACAAAATATACATATTAAATTTAAAAAAAAAAGATGAGGCAAGGGAGCCCAAGGAAGCCAATAAGGCTTGTGTATAAGACCACCTTTTAAAATTGTCATCTAATTAATAATTACAATACTGACATCGGCAATTTAGCTCTAAGTACACACAATTTGTTTGGAACATAGAAAATAATCATTAAATAGGATAAAAATAGAAAAGGCTGAATGACTGTAAGTGCAAAAATGAGAAAAGAAATACTGTAAGAAAACATGAGAAAAAAAGCGAAAGAAGCGAAAAACTACACACAAACATTAGGAGAACAAAAGTATGCTTACACCAAGAAAAAATGACTTAAGTTTAGAATTAAACAAAGCAGTACTAGAGGCATTCTGAATTTCAGGACTAAGGGAATTAAATATTTTGGGCCCTTGAAAACAAAGTGAACATTTCCTTACATTTGTCCTGCAGTCGGGTAAACGATTAGATTAGTTTAGATTAGATTAGATCAGGGCAAACGATGAGATTAATGATTGAAGTTCTTGCATGTAAATTACACTTGACACTTGACTGTGAATGTTCTTACTTGAAGGTTTCCTGTACATGGATTTCTATAACACATCTCTTCTGACAGACGTACAATACTTAGCTCCTCTCATGGCTTACTTCAGTCCAGATCATCATCCAGATTCTAAAGTCATCACCCTTGACGATGGTATCAAATATATATGTTGTGATAAATGTATACTGGTACTTACTTTAGCTTTAATCTTGTACCTGATTGAGTAGATTACAGATGTACATACTTTGGTACTTCTATACTTCTATCTCAAGCACGTTTATTGAGTGCTAGTAAAAAGCATCAGCTACTTTGCTCAGAGAAGTTGAGTTCTTTTTAATAAATAGAAGGTAACTGAGAAATTCTTTCAAACATTACTTATAAGTTGCAGTCGGTTGCCACGATTACTCTATACAAACCAGCTGCTTGGTGGAGAATAATTATTATTGATAGAATGTACCTGAGGTTGGAAAAATGATGTCTCTAACTGTAATTGGATCCCCAATGTTAATAATTTCAGCATAAACAAGCTTAAGTTAGCTATATAAGTTATATTTTTTTAAACATCTCTATGTACTTTTATTTGCTCAAAATTCCCAACAAAATTCCTTCTTTTGTTGTTTTAGGTTTACAGCTGACAGTACAGTGGTCAAAAGTTTATCTTCGTAACAGAACTCATGGTAGTATTAAGCATGTAATGATCACTCTTGATGTAAAGATCTTAGGGTTTAAAACAACAATTAAGAAGTGATTGCATAATGCTATTCTTTGGTCAAGGTTCAGTGGCATAGCCAAGGGAGGGACACTTCCAGGGGTTCCAGACCCCCCCTTGGGCTACAGCATGGGCTATAATTTCAAGAGGAACGAGATTTTAGCTGTTAAAAAAAATGAGAAAAAAATCAATTAAAAAAAGCATCAAATTCTATTTCGAGGGTTGCATATGAATACTATCAGGATGATCATACATTGTACGAGGCCCCAGTGTGTATACAAGCCTTCAAAGTGGGATTCAGCACCTTGTTGGTCTCGATCGTTTTCAGTTGCATGTTGTAATGTTTTGACTATGAGAGGGTTTAATAAAAACTCGTGTAGAGGCATAGAGTGAGAAGGTAGAATGAAATCAGCATTGATGTTTGCAAATCAATGTGAGGAAATTGTCTGAAACTGGCACACTTAACACTAACAGCACGCCGAACTGCCTAAAACATACAGTATTCAATTATGGGTTCATCGCAAGATGCAGTGCCTTTTCCTTACATAAAAGCTACTCAGTATCAGGCTCTGAAAGCGAGACATAAATGTCTGTTAGACTACCATCACCCCTAATTTTCATGTGGCGGGTTTTCCGTTGGCAGCACAAGTGGCTCAACGCGGGAAAAATCATTTCTAATAGTGCAGTTGAAAGCTTGGCCATGAATTCTTTTCAAGCTCCATATTTCAAGTACGTTACAAATTAGATCAGCAGAAACTGAGCGATGGCTCTGCACATTGGCAGACTTAAAAAGTAGTCGGCAGCAACCATGACTAAAGAGCAAGAGTCTGCTGCTCTTGCTCTGATGAACATTGGATAATGCAAATTGGCCTAAGTCCACCAATCGACACCTTTGTACGGATCGAAGCATCCATGATGTCTCGTTCTTGCCAATATCCTTTCTGAGTAAATGGCAAATCACAAGACTAAAGTGTGTGTTTTAATGTATTCAACCATTATCAACATACATGTTGTAGTTTATTTTTTATTTCAGGTAATTTTTATTTTTCTTTTCCTTTAACTTCATTAGCATACATTAGTATTTACCATACCCAAAAACAGAAGAAAAACAAAAATTACTTGAGATAAAAAAATTATCAACAACGTATGCAGCGTAAGTCCATCACAGTATCTCTTCATTGAAAGCGAAGCACTGTTATTGGAAATTTGGGCTCAGAATCACAATATGGAAAATAAAATTTTCCATGGGAGAAGGCCTTATACCAGGAGCCCATGACCCATAGGCTCCTGCTTATGCCCCATGCCCTCCAAAGCTTGATTTTCAATCTAGAAAAAATATCACAGTAGAAACCCTTCTATGCAAAAATGCTGGCTACGCCCCTGAGGTTGACAATGTTAGTTTTGCAATGACATCAGAAAAATCAACCAAAAAAGTGTGATGCATATCCAGATTTTTTGTTCTGTTTATTAAATCTGTTTAATGTTTTTTTGTATTTACTAACTCTTGTCATCATTGTTGTGGGTTCTCTGGCTCCTATCAGTGTTGCCATGTAAAACAATTCTTGATATGCAAGTAAAAATTTTATTGAAAAATTAACTGACAAATGAAAAACACCTGAAGAAAGTGATGTCTGCAGCCTGTACCCATATAGGGACTCACTCACTCTAGTCCGTGTCATGTTGGGGGGGAGGGAGGGAGTGTAAAAATTGGCAAGTAGTTATCTACATTATACACTTCCACTGGAGAATAAGACTGAAGAAACGTCTGTGAAAGTGAATATTTTACTTCACCCTCAAGGTTTTACAGATACACCAATGCAACAAGAAAATAATTAACACAAATCCATGCAATCAAGCTTTTTATTTATATCTCAGCAGTGTCTCAACAATATATAGCTTGGTCCATAAAGGAAATAAATTTTACTAGAGAAGCACAAACTTCCTGTAGATAATTATATTTATCGTTTCTTTCTTCTTTTTCTACTCTTTAAAGATGGACACTTCACATTTCAGTGCACTTTACATAAGAATGGTACAATATGGTTCGCATACAAAGAGGTAAATTATGACTCATCCTCCATAGCAGTTGTCTTAGTAAATTAGGGAAAATTACTGTTTCCTTGCATCATTCTGAAGTTTATGGATGTCCAGATTAAACCTGAGTTTTGTTTTTAGCGATTATAGAAAGGGAAAAATAGAAGAGTAAACCTTATAAATAGCTGAATGCCTAGCTCTTATAGACATTAGGACTTTAACTGAACCCCAGTGAGGTGAAAACATGAATTAAGCACCCAACTTAAAAGATTATTCTTAATCTGCTAATAATTAGATGAAATTCAATTTATTTCCAAAATTTCTCACATCGTTTGAAATATGGAAGCTCATTGACCTGTGGGAGTGTGTTAATGACTCATAATGCACGAATTTCATGCATACTTACATGTAACATAAGACTATAATTTTATCTTTTCATTTACATATGGACCTTTCTACTATAAAAGCCTATTTGAAGTTTCTCAGATTTTTAATGCCGTTATTTGGCCATAAGGCATATGCATTCGTTTGACATTCGCTGTAGCTGTTGTTGCTTAATTGTCACTCTCTAGAAACAATACGAGCCAATTCTGCTTAACTGTTAAAGTTAACTACAGTCAACTCCCGGTAACTCAAACCCTCTATAACTTGAACCTCCCACTAACTCGAAACAATTTTCATTTCCGTTCAGATAGTTTTCTGTGTAATTTTACCCTCAATACCTATTTCCCTTGAAGGTTCCAATTAGCGGGAGCTGGCTGTATGTTTTATGACTGTAATGACTGTTTGACGTTATTGTGGGTCCATAATTGTCATGGTACATTTACTTATCGCACATATTAAGTATTTCTATTCATAATATCACGGTGGTTAGCTCGAAAGCTAGGCTCCTCTGACCACCATACACTTCTATTAAAGCCATCAATTTTTTCTTCTTTTTTTCCCTCTTATTTGTTACTTTATTCCTAGTCGTTACTATTATACAGTGTAAATGTTGTAGATAAGTAACTAAACCGAAGTGAATTAAAAACCATTGCAGTTTGACTATTATTAAATCAGCAAATAAACACACCTATATAACTGGAAACAGATTGTGAAAGTCAAATAGTCACGTCAACAAATAATTGAGGAGTGATGAAAATTGAGCAGTGTTTTGTTATAGCTAATGTATCGGGCAAATCGAAGCCTCAACATCCCCCAGGTAGGGGGGGAATTTGAACAATAATTTTCAAAAAAGTCAAATGCCCGGGGGTTTGCCCGGGGGTTTGCCCGGGGGGGGATGTTGAAGCTTCGATTTGACCGATACATAACCCTAATGACTATGTTACAGGTCCCAGTTAATGTGTCAAGCATTCCTGATGTACGATACCACCCTGTGAGAGTAGGCATATCTGATGCATTTGTAAGATATTACCGACATTTAGGGAGGCCTGGAATCATCTACCGAGTCTTTCATATATACAGTCAAGTGAATATTACCAAGAACAGTGTTGTCAATGGATCAGCAGTGGTGTTCCACCCTCAAACAAGTTTGTTCTTTTTAAAAGTTCTATTACTGTAATCTAATAATTTTTAGCTGTTAATAACCGAGCGTGAGGTCTTTTTGGGAGAATCTTGACGGAGGTTACCAGTACAGACCGAACACAGTGAGGTCTGTACCAGCGACCGAGGTGAAGATTCTCCCATACAGACCGACCTAGCTCGTTAAGAAGATGTTTATTATATGGCCAAACAAGAAACCAAAGGAACAAAAACATGAATAATTTTATTTGCTTCCCTGCGCGGGCTCAAGCATTTAGCTGGCTTTCTTCTGTCACTGGTCTCCAGTCCAAACGGAACAAAAATAACTGTTTCAAGTCCAGCTTTGTACAAACTTTGTACAAACAAGCCAATCTTTTCATATTCTTTGTTTGTAACTTTTTGAGGAGAACTGTTACAACAAGATCGGTTTAGATGCCGGTCTGGATGGGAAAAACTAAACCGCGGTCAAGATCGAATTCTTGAGTTTATTTGTTTCCAGTCCTTTTGAGAAATGCCCATATAATAATAAGTGATACAGTGCAGTCCTAATTTGTTTATGCAAGAAGTAAAATATAATTTGCAAGCCATTTCCTGACCAATATACTGATTATATCTAAAGCTTTCCTGGCAAGCCAGTCTTGTGAGCTTTAATTTTGATAAAAAATTTGGTTTTCAGACTGTGTGAGTAACCTGCAGCTTAACCTTGGGTTCCATGCTGTGTGGGTAAACTGTGACTGACGTAATTGTTTTCATTATACTGTACTTTCCTTTCAGGCTGTGTTAATGCCACCTCATGTACAGAGTGTATGAAGCGGAAGCAAACAACAGAATTTGACTGTCAGTGGTGCCCGCAGACTAAAAGGTAGAAATTGTCTTTGGAAAGCTAAAATTGTTAAGTCAGAGCCGACTAAAAAGATGTTTCACCTGAAGAGAATACAGTCCCAGAGATTGACCGTGCAGACCATTTTTGTTTTATCGTGCATGGATGTGTCACTTCTCAAACCTATAGAAGAGTAAAGAAATGGATAGCAAGTATTCACTAGCAGCAGCAGTCATCTGCTGCAAGAGCATGACTGTCACGTAAACTTGGGTCATGGCCATGTATCCCTTGGAAAACTGCTTTTTGGCGGGAAACTGGCCCGGTTCAGAGGCTGTACTTCACATCAGCCGAATCGATTCAGACCCTGATTTTTATTTTCAACGAACAACCGGGAAAAACGTGCATTTTGGTAAACTACATTACAAGAATTTATGTTTGGCTCATGTGAATTTCGGCGAATGAATCAACGCCGGTCCACAGCTCTTTTAGATGAATCCGATTTGGCTCACATGATTTTCTTTTAATATAACAAACATGATCTAAGACTGCTAAACAGTCTGTCAGTCAAACTAATTTCTATTGGTGGTTTAAGATAACATTGTTAATTACAATGGTCACTGTTAAGCTTAACCCTTTAATAGTTCAGTGTAGATGGTCACGTTCTTACAATAATCTTGCAATATTTTAAAGGTGCTCTGATAAAACAGATCGTAATCGTGCAGAATGGGACCTCAATGGGTGCAGTCAAAATGCCGTCAATCAGGTATTACTTACTACTTAAAACATATTGCGCTGCCACCAAAATGCCGACAAACAGATTAAGATATTACAACTGTTACGAGTTAAACCATTTTAAACTGCGACCTAAATGCTGTCAAACAGTTTTTCCTGCTACCGTCATTTAGCTCCGTTTTCCTTGTGACAAGTTTTATACCTTCCTCTGGAAGCTTAACCTGTATTAGGCGGACATCTACAAAACCCTCCTTGTAAATTTTTGTATTTTGTTTGTCCATTCTGTTTTGTGCGTTTGTATGTCGTCTTAATAGATGTGTTTTCTTAAATTACATGTACACGTTGGTTTTTGGTTTATCGGAGGGACTTGTACAAAGTCGTTTGCCCTTAAATACAGAATGAGCACTGAAGACAGGTTTCACTATACGTAACGAGCCCGAAGGCCACATGGCAAACAGCCTGTGCATACTTGCGGGACTCGAAAAACTTCCGACCGTTAGTCCGGCAAGAGTAGATTTTCGTGCTGGGCAGGTAACTTTTAAAGCTCCTCACCTTCCAAGTGGGCAAAAATCCAGGCAGGTTATCCTTCCGCAACTAAATCATTCACTGAAACAATCAAGACTAACAGGCCCCAGGCATCTTAGCAAAATGCCGCCGGGAGAGTTGGCTGCTTAAAGACCTGAAAGGACGTGCTGTAAGTCAGTTTTTTTCTTTAATATGGCCCTTTCCTCGAGTATAATTTGTGTACTCTTGTGTTCATTTGTTTTTTGATATCAGCCGTCAGATGAGAGATGCGTGGCAGGTACGGAACGGTACGGTACGTTTCAGGCTGTATTTATAGCCGAGCAGGAGGTCTTTATGGAAGAATCTTGACCAAGGTTGCCAGTACAGAACGAACACAGTGAGGTCTGTACCAGCGACCGAGGTGAAGATTCTTCCATACAGACCGACCTAGCTCGTTAAGAAGATGTTTATTATATGGCCAAACAAGAAAGCAAAGGAACAAAAATATGAACAATTTTATTTGCTTCCCTGCGCGGGCTCAAGCATTTAGCTGGCTTTCTTCTGTCACTGGTCTCCAGTCCAAACGGAACAAAAATAACTGTTTAAAGTCCAGCTTTGTACAAACTCTGTACAAACAAGGCAATCTTTTCATATTCTTTGTTTGTAACTTTTTGAGGAGAACTGTTACAACAAGATCGGTTTAGATGCCGGTCTGGATGGGAAAAACTAAACCGCGGTCAAGATCGAATTCTTGAGTTTGTTTGTTTCCAGTCCTTTTGAGACATGCCCATATAATAATAAGTGATACAGTGCAGTCCTAATTTGTTTATGCAAGAAGTAAAATATAATTTGCAAGCCATTTCCTGACCAATATACTGATTATATCTAAAGCTTTCCAGGCAAGCCAGTCTTGTGAGCTTTAATTTTGATAAAAAATTTGGTTTTCAGACTGTGTGAGTAACCTGCAGCTTAACCTTGGGTTCCATGCTGTGTGGGTAAACTGTGACTGACGTAATTGTTTTCATTATACTGTACTTTCCTTTCAGGCTGTGTTAATGCCACCTCATGTACAGAGTGTATGAAGCGGAAGCAAACAACAGAATTTGACTGTCAGTGGTGCCCGCAGACTAAAAGGTAGAAATTGTCTTTGGAAAGCTAAAATTGTTAAGTCAGAGCCGACTAAAAAGATGTTTCACCTGAAGAGAATACAGTCCCAGAGATTGACCGTGCAGACCATTTTTGTTTTATCGTGCATGGATGTGTCACTTCTCAAACCTATAGAAGAGTAAAGAAATGGATAGCAAGTATTTACTGGCAGCAGCAGGCATGTGCTGCAAGAGCATGACTGTCACGTAAACTTGGGTCATGGCCATGTATCCCTTGGAAAACTGCTTTTTGGCGGGAAACTGGCCCGGTTCAGAGGCTGTACTTCACATCAGCCGAATCGATTCAGACGCGGATCAACGCCGATCTTTATTTTCAACGAACAACGGGGAAAAACGTGCATTTTTGGTAAACTACACTACAAGAATTTATGTTTGGCTCATGTGAATTTCGGCGAATGAATCAACGCCCGGTCCACAGCTCTTTTAGTTGAATCCTATTTGGCTGACACGATGCACGTCGTCTGAACCAGGACTAAGATCACCTGGACCATAGTACCGTTCACTATTTTCTTTTAATATAACAAACATGATCTAAGACTGCTAAACAGTCTGTCAGGCAAACTAATTTCTATTGGTGGTTTAAGATAACATTGTTAATTACAATGGTCACTGTTATGCTTAACCCTTTAATAGTCCAGTGTAGATGGTCACGTTCTTACAATAATCTTGCAATATTTTAAAGGTGCTCTGATAAAACAGATCGTAATCGTACAGAATGGGACCTCAATGGGTGCAGTCAAAATGCCGTCAATCAGGTATTACTTACTAGTTAAAACATGTTACACTGCCACCAAAATGCCGACAAACAGATTAAGATATTACAACTGTTACGAGTTAAACCATTTTAAACTGCGACCTAAATGCTGTCAAACAGTTTTTCCTGCTACCGTCATTTAGCTCCGTTTTCCTTGTGACAAGTTTTATACCTTCCTCTGGAAGCTTAACCTGTATTAGGCGGACATCTACAAAACCCTCCTTGTAAATTTTTGTATTTTGTTTGTCCATTCTGTTTTGTGCGTTTGTATGTCGTCTTAATAGATGTGTTTTCTTAAATTACATGTACACGTTGGTTTTTGGTTTATCGGAGGGACTTGTACAAAGTCGTTTGCCCTTAAATACAGAATGAGCACTGAAGACAGGTTTCACT